CACCGGCCGCCGGCCAGTGGTCGAGCCACGAGAGTTCCCTACACATAAACTGTCTGGAAACGATCGTGGTCGAGAACGCGCTGCTGTTTTTCCTCCCGCGCATACATGGTCACCACGCGCATACATGGTCCTGATTCGCTCCGACAATATGGCCGTGGTATCATACATCAACCGTCAGGGCGGCGTCAGATCCAAGAATCTCTTTCATCTGACACGCCGCATCCTATTGTGGTCCCAGAGTCACCTGCTCTCGCTCAGAGCGACGCACGTACCAGGCCATCTGAACGACGGTCCAGACATGCTGTCCAGGAACCTGGTCTCCCCCAGAGAATGGTCCCTGCACACTCAAACAGTCCAAACGCTGTGGCGCCTATTCGGCAGAGCGGAGATAGATCTTTTCGCGTCAGAAGAGAACGCTCACTGCCCAATATTCTTCTCAAAGAGCGAGGACGCGCTAGCCCAGGATTGGCCCCGCCGCCCGCTCTATGCTTTCCCCCCGATTTCTCTGCTACCGCAGGTCATTCAGAGAATCAGGGACTCACGCCACTCGGTGCTTCTCATAGCCCCGCGCTGGGAGAATCAGATTTGGTTCCCGGAGCTTACGCGGCTGTCACAGACAGCCCCGTGGCCCATTCCAATCAGAGCAGATCTCCTCACTCAAGCCCGCGGCTCGATCTGGCATCCCCATCCACAGCGCTGGGCGCTTCATGCATGGGTGACCAACGACTACGCGTCGAATTGCCAGAAGAGGTTCTGAACACGATCAAACACGCCAGAGCGGATTCAACCAGAAAGCTCTATGCTGCTAAATGGTCTGTGTTCTCCAAATGGTGCACCGACAAAAATTTGGACCCACGGACGTGCGAGGTTTCGTCTTTGCTCGTGTTCCTTCAGGAGATGCTGGATAAGGGCAGGTGCCCATCCACTCTTAAGGTTTACGTGGCAGTCGTCGCGGCGTTCGTTGAACCCCGGCGCGCCCAGTCTCTGGGCAAAGACGAGCTAATCATCCGCTTCCTCAGGGGAGCCAGAAGGATGAACCCCCCTCGCCCCTCGGTCTGGGATCTTTCTGTAGTTCTAGAAGCTCTGAAAGCCCCACCGTTTGAACCACTTGAGTCCGTAGAGCTACAATACCTCTCGTTAAAATACCTCTCGTTCCGACGCTCAGAGCAGCTGTTTGTGTCGTTCGGTGGCCGCACCAAGGGTTTAGCCGCCTCGAAACAGACTCTATCCAGGTGGATAGTAGACGCGATTGCCTCTGCTTATGCCGCTAAAGACCTGCCTTGCCCTCTGGGCATTAGGGCTCATTCCACCAGAGGCATGGCCTCATCGTGGGCATGGTCCTGCGGAATTTCCATTCACGACATTTGTGTGGCTGCGGGATGGGCCTCCCCCTCCACTTTTGTCAGATTTTATAACTTGGAAGTTCCAGCCTTACAGGCTAAAATTCTGGCGGTCTAGTACTTACAGCTCTCCTTAGAAAGCCGCACTATCGGGAGTTCCATCACAACCGGCTCACCCCTTGTGTTCCCCTATGTGCTTATGCATTACACGTCACGGCCCGCTTCGCCGGCCGCCTTAGGGCGTTTTGCACTAGATGATAACGGCCGCTATGCTGGCCGCCTTATTATCTTCATCCACTTAAAGATTCCCCCGGGGTTTCCCCCCTGTGATGCTTAGTGGTTACTTAGCGCGCACGGCGTTGACCAGGTGTTCCCGTAGCGTAAGCTAGCTTACGCAATACGAGAGAACCTCTCGTAAGAGAACGAATCGGTTACCTAACGTAACCTCGGTTCTCTTTAGATGAGGGAACGAGTATTGCGTTCCCGGCCGTGCTTGCGCCACTAGCGTTTCGCTTCATGCTACAGAATCGACGAACTAGCCTGGGAGAGCTACCTTTATACACTGTAGCCACGCCCCTTTTGGCGGGCTGTGACGCAGTGAGCGAGCGCCGTCCGCTCATTGGGCGCGGACTCAGCGCCGCTCTCCCATAGGTTCGTGCATTCTCTCTGAGCGAACCAATGAGCCGCTAGCTAGCCCGCTCATGGTCTGCCTCAGAAGAGACTGCGTTGACAATGATTACGAAATTATGAAATAATTTTTTGGCTTCAACTTCTCAGCAAAGATGAATCTTTCCCGTAACGTAAGCTAGCTTACGCAATACTCGTTCCCTCATCTAGAGAGAACCGAGGTTACGTTAGGTAACCGATTCGTTTTTTCATCTTCATGGAAACCACAATGATTTCCCTCATGTGTTCATATTTTTCCTTGTTATAATGTATGATTTGCAAAAATAAAAACTGCGGCATCTGTGTTTATGAGAGAATCAAAGTGTATGTGTGTTGTCCACCCGCTACATTATGGCCAAGCATGTGCGCGTAAAATAGCATTATGAACAACGCGCAATGCGCCACTGACTTTAGACCAGGTTTTTTCTGGTCAGCGGCACAATTGTTTTCAGTAACTGCAAAATAGCACTAGGGAATGTTAGCGCCGAAACACGCCTCCTTTTTGCGGTCGATCCGCCCAGGGAAAGTTTATTTTCTTTGTTTATCGACGTGCTCTGTGGACGCATTCACTGTGGTTATCGTCTGTGGACGCATTCACGCTCTGACGGTGAAAATCGATGAAAGAACCGATTAAAATGACATGGCAGTCAAACAAAACTTGAAATTACATGAAATGGAGCAGAAGTTGAATGATGCTGAGCGATATAACAGGTGATGGAGCTGTCTTTATGGAGCCCCTGAGAGAGATCAGAAGACGACGTTGTGAAAGAAATATGCAAAGAGATCCTTCCAGAAGCCAAGTGCAGCTTTTACCAGGTGCCATCGATGTAGTCCACAGGATTGGCAAACCTCCAGAGATGAAGAACAGCGTCACACCCCGACCAGTGATCATTAGGTTTCTTTCACGGACAGCAAGAGACTTGGCAAAAATACCAAAGCAAATTAATATCTATAAAGAAAGCATCTCTTTTTTACATTTTTTTTTTTTTGAAATAGGCTCATTTTACAACTCCCTCAGAGTTAAACAGTCGAGTTTTACCGTTTTCAAATCCATTCAGCCGATTTTCTGATATTTAGAAGAATACCAGTAAACTGTTTAACTCTGAGGGAGTTGTAAAATGAACCTATTTCCAAAAAAAGTGGAGTATCCCTTTAAAGAGGATCTGACCATTGCAGAGCGTCTTGAGCGTCTGGCGCGAGTGATTTCAATGTTAAGTCAATGTAAAGACACGTTTACGTGCGTCTAGATGTCCTGTGGCGCGATTGAGGCATTTAGCGCGGTAGACGCATGAATGAGGCGAAATGACTACCACAGATAATTCTTTGCAATCAATCCGTGTTCAGCAGAGGCTGATATATTTCCTTAATTTATTAATAGCATGTTTTTCATTGTGCATGATCACAGTTCATATGTGTGGGGAAATATATAAAAAAAAATATTGCAATAATGTGCGTTCACACCAGACGCGAATAGCATGTCAAATTCGCGCCTACCGCGTCTAGTTATATGCTTGAACTTCACGCGTCAAGAGCGAAATTGAGGCACGTAAAAAAAAGTGAAATTTACGTGCGTCACGTGCATCGGAATCGAAACCCAGCTGCGGCCATCTTTTTTATGTTGATCGAGAAATCATCGAGAGAGTCACCGCTCTGTATTTGCTCTGGAGAGCAGAACGGCAGCGTAGGGGTCATCGTTGCCGTATTTGTGTCCACCAGACCCTTCGGAGGCAAACCCAGTTTGGGGCGTTTCACTATTTGCTCGCTCCAGGAGCTGCGTCTGGATGATGGACCTTATTTTTATATTGTAAAGGAAAGAGTGTAGAATTTTATTTTGTGCAAGAAACGCATGCTTGAAAGCAAGATGAAAAGTTCTGCAATGACATCCTACAAAAATAAATCTCTCTTTTTTGATTACTGGTTAGAAAATAATATTATATTAGTTAGTCAGTTTTTTGAAAGCGACACACTTCCAGCTGCCAGTTGATGGCGGTATATCTCTGACTCACAATAATCACATCCATGTGATCGGCCTCTTACAACGAACACACCGGTGAAGTTTCATCAAGATCAGTTAATGTATGAGGAAGTTATAACACACTTCCTGTTTCACGTTTCTCGCCATAATTTTGTTTCCTTGCCATGGCCAAACCGTTCGAGATATCAAAATGTTCTCATCCTCAATGTTTTGACTTCACGCTGACGAGTTTCGTGGTATTTGGAGGAATTCTCAAGGAGGAGTACTTTAAATTCCATTGCATGCATTTTCAAACAACCATTAATAGACGACTTCCTGTTGGGCTGAGCACGAAAGTTGTTCGGCCCGGTGAGATCTAGAAGTGTACTAAGTTTCATATTATTACATGCAAGCGTGCATGATTTATGGACCAAGTTTACGGACCCCATTCCAGGGGGTGCTGTCGGGGCCCCCTGCCACGCCTGGGTACCAGCTTCAGCCCAGCCTGATGGCTGTGGGTTCTGCAAAATTTCAAGAGTTTTGGAAATGGTAAGGGCCCCAAAAGTCCCCAAAAGGTAGTAAAATAATAATAATAAAAAGAAGAAGAAGAATCCTATAGAAAACAATAGGGCCTCCGCCTTTTCAAGGCTGGGGCCCAAATAATCATTAGGAAAACAATAGGGCCTTTGCCTTTTCAGAGCTTGGGCCCCTAATAAATTAAAAATTAAGAAATTTTAAAAATTTTAAAAACCAGAAATTAAAAATAAAAAGTTCTAACATGTAAAACGGGAACATGAAAGGAATATTCTAAAAGCAACCCATGTAAACACCTTATTCAGATTAAGGTCAATAATTAAATTACTGCTGTCCATGTAAACATACTGAATGACACACCTCATATCACACACCTCTACTGTCACAGTAGCATTTAATAGTTCAATGTGGTGCACCAGCAGGATTATTTGTTCATAACAGATTATCACTGTCCAACTCCAACCCACAAATCCTGCCTGCTGCACCTATTCCTGTTTTTAACTTACCACAGCATAAGAGAAGAGAAAGATTGAGTCCAGAGCACCCAAAAACAAAGTAGCCTCCCCCACATCAGCAAAACAGTTTGTTATCCTCCCATGTCTACAATAGTAAAAAAACAAAAAATAAGTGAGTAGCATTATTATTATAAATTAATAATAAAAACTGAAAATTCTGCATTGGACTTTGATTTGTAGAACTATATTGCAAGTTGTGAGAATGTTAGTTTGTATTTTTGCCAACCAGAAAGAATCAAGTGTGAACTGACTTAATGCTTGACCTTGTGTTGCCCTTTCACAGACTTAATGATTCATCGCCTTTGTCACAAAAGTAGTCATGTGAAATATATATTATTTATACAGTACTGTGAGGCATTCAAAAGGACAAGCATCAACACAGTGTTGTGAGGAAAAATGCAATTTTTCTCTCATCCCTAGGACCTGGCAGAGCACTTTTTCTCCAAAGCATGCAGTGAAGTTAACAGATAAGACATGGACTACTTGTTTATGAATAAAACTATGTTAAACCATAACAAATGTTTGAACTTGTGCAGTTTACGTGCATTACATTCATGGCTGCAATCTACTTATCGAAAGTTTTTTTTTCTTCTGATTTTCTGTATTAATATTTTTTGTTGTTTTTAATTGAATTAAGATTTACATTTTTGAGTAATCAGATACTCATTTTTTTTCAACAACAAAATGACTGGAAATGCTCATTTACTAACATCATTATCTATCAGGCTAGGGACAATGTTGCTCCTTTCTATAGAGAGAAATCACATTTTAAATAATGGGAAATTAAACAAGTAAAAAAAATTTAGAAGTATGTATTATATGCGTACCACTCCAGGAGACAAAGCTACAGAGCTGCCATTCTGCTGCAATCCCGACGGGGTCCATTGTGCTGAGATGCTAACTTTCACATTACTAAAAGTCTTACGTGACGAGTGAAGCAGGACATAGCTGGATAGAGTGGGGAGATAGACAGTATGAATGGAGATGAGCACATGTATTATGCAAGCTCATTAACACTATGTCCTTCATTAAGTTCTTCATGTATATGGGTCAACACTAACTTTCTCTTTCATTTCTGCATTATTATACATGAATCATTAGACTTTTCAAAACCACATGAAACCAACATTATACAAAGCATGCATTTCTAAGAACTTGCCACATGTGTTTTATATTATATTTTCCTTCTTTTTAAAACATTTTTCATTTCTTTATTGTGAAAACTCTTATAGTTTCTATATAGTTACTTATAGAAAAAACACATTACATTGCATAAATGTTCAAAGCCTGGTGACAAATTGAATTACTTGACATGATTTGAAAAAACACACCTGCCTATACAAGTCAATGCTGGAAAATCATTTTAGAGCAAAAACCATGAGGTGAATTATGAGGTCAAAGAGACTATATGCACAGATCAGAAACAGATTTGGGAAAGACTACAAAAAAATGTTTAGGTAAAGGGTTCACATGAGCACAGATGGGCTCAAAAACTCTTAAACGGAAGAGGTTTTCCCTTTAGAAAAATGTCAGGAACATTATTTTTAATCAGTTGACTTTATCAATCCTTTGTTGCATTACACGGTAATGGTGACAGTCCAAAAACGCATTTTCCCACCTCAAGTTTGCATGCTTATAACTCAAAAAAATGTAAAAAGCTATCTTAACATTTTATAGATTTTGGAACTCAAGATCCTACGACTCAGATCTAGAAATGTGGGGATCTGAGTGTGGCTCTATGAGAAATTGTTTTGTAGGCTACACCTTTTCAGTAATCAAAAACCATATGTGGGTCACTTTGCACACAGTTAATTTTTTTTTCCTTATTGAAGAGAAATGTCTGAAGAACAAAACATTTCAAAACTAGAAATGTATCTTGTTCCCCTTTATTAAAACAATAACATAGAAATTAACTGTCTGAACGCCTAGAATATTCTTTTTCCAAAGTTTGCGTGCCTGTAACTCAAGTATTACAGATATCACAATATCAATATTCTGGTTCTTAACAAACTCTCCTTTTCTTTTCTGATCTTCATTTTAAAAACCTAGGATTTGGGATACACAATGTGGCTCCTTTTCTGTTGAATTTTACCTATTTTAATGTGGTAATTTTGCAAGCAAAGAATACTTTTTGAATATCTGAATAAGAACAACGTTGAAACTAGAAATGCACCTTTATTTATTCACATAGAAAGAATAATTTCAATATCTTGATTTTTGAATCTACACATTGTCTATACATTGTATAAATATTAAATAACAAGGAAAATGTTTAGCTGGTGCAATACCTTTATTTATTTTCTAGATTTCATGTATACCGAACAAGCTCTGGAAGGTATAGCAGTAAATTATCCCTTGAATGTGTTATCATTTGAGGTGATATCAGTGATTCTGCTAAATATGCTCCTCAGCAGTGAATACTACTAAGTCTATGTGCACATTTTATAACAAGACAAAAATGTAACACTTAAACAATGTAACACTGTAACAATTAAACAATCCAGGTGAGGCAAATATTGGTTGATTGAATAGACATATGACATGTGTGGGGAGAGAAACCAGTCTTGTTTGCCATGAAACTTATTTCAGCCATGTAGTTACTATTGTGTATTTGAACTCTTATTCAAATAAAGAAACTTGTGAATACACTATTGAAAACTATTTAATACACTATTGTTAATTTCAATGTATTTGCCACTCAGGCAAGTATGTTCTTCTGCTTGCAATCATTCTGATAAAGGGAAACAGGATATATTTCTAGTCTCAACATTATTTGTTAGTCAGACATTCCTCTTTGTATACAATTATTCACTGTATGCAAAAGAAACAACTGATATTTAGATACATTTCATATTTATCAAGGTACAGGCATGAAAACTTCGAGGAGTAGACAAAAAGTTATTTTTCCATTATAACATGTTACTAGCTGACCTACCAATCTCTGTATAAAAATAAAATAATGATGATGATGCTATCTTTCTAAAGTCATTTTCACTCTCATATAATTTGGCTCCAAATTTGAAAATTGTAATTTTGATCCCCTTTTGTCATTTTTGTGTAATTGTAATTTTCCCCTTGTGTAATTGTGTAATTCCCATTGTGTAATTGTAATTTTGATTTACTCTGTAAATATTGATCCATGGCATTTCATATTTTAGCTTTCGTCACTACTTATATTTGTATTTCTTCACCAGAAATAATAACAAAATCATTTAGCCAGGCAAGTTATGTTTCTGAAATTTAGTTGATTTGACATGGAATGACCCATAACATTTTAAGTAATCAGAATACAGCTAGTTAAATGACATACAGCTCACAGAACTTTGCGTTATGTCATCTAAGATGGCAAACACGGCAGAGTTCAGTATACTTATTATGCACAATAAAATAGTGCCTGACACATGTCAGCAAACCATTCATGTAAAGCAGGTCTTTTCATCAACTACAGATCCAGGGACAGGGGTCGGGTCAAGATGGCGCCGTGTTAACAGCAACTTTATTACGCTCTAATCCTTTATTATGTGCTGTGCTTAAGGCTTGAACTTCTATGCTTAATTTTCTATATAACTTGTAGTGGAATCTTAACACATCCTTTTAAGTCTGTTTTAACATTTATTGGGACCCTCCTTGCGTTTATTTTAATTAGTTTTTTTTCTACGCCTGTGTGAAGTAAGCTTGCGCCGTTGATACTACCATGGAAGAAAACATGGATTTAGCCTCTGTCGAGGCTTCTGCAAACAACGAAAATCTAAAGGTACACAACTACTCAAGACGTCTTGAAGATACTTTTGGGGGCCTTCCCGACACTCCTAGTAAGTCCCCTGCTCTGAAGAAACCTCGTTCTATTGCCTCCGACTCGGTCTCTAATTCTGTGCTGCTAGCGGCGATCGAAAAGGTTAGCAAGCTACAAGAAGAGTCTTTGGTAAAACTGCATTCAGTCGAGGCATCGGTGAAGGATAACACTGCTTCGATCTGTAACCTCACCTGCTCGCTTGAATCTATTAACAAGCAGGTGGAGGACGTGACGGATAAGGTGCTTTCTCTGCAAGCTAAAGTTGTGAAGCTGGAAAAGGAAAATAAAGCTCTTAATGAGAAATGCAGCGGTTTGGACAGTTACAAGCGCAGATGGAACCTCCGTGTAGCCGGGATACCTGAGCACGAGGGGGAAAACGTCAAAATGGTCGTCATTGAGCTGTTCAGGAACCTCTCTCCACACTCCGCGGAGAAACTGCAGGACATGGTCGACATCGCGCATCGGCTTGGTCCTAAGTCTGGAAACACCACCACTCCGCGACGGATCATCGTTCAGTTTTTATCCCGCACTTGCCGAGATGCAATTTGGGCGGAAGCAAAACGTTCTGAGCTGTTGAAACAGAAGAAAATTCGGATCTTGGAAGATCTTACGCAGGAAGACAAAGAAGCGAGAAACAAACTTTGGCCACTCGTTGAAAAGGCAAGAAGGGAAGGAAAGAAAGCTGGGTTTAACGGGCCCGTTGCCTTCATTAACGGGAAGAGAATTTCTGTTTACGATATTTAACATGCCCCTTATTTTGTATTTTGCGAAATGGGAAGGTGAAGTGTTTTTTGTTTTTTGTTTTTTTTTGGGTCCATAACGGAGTGTGTTGACTTTCCTAATTGATTTGGGAGTTCGAGCCTTATAAGCTCCGCATATCTTCTAAGAAGCATATTTAGTTTCTTCTGTACTTGTTCTGACAGTCGTATTAGGCTACTCAAAAGAGTTTGAGTTCTGTTTTTATGTTTAGTTCACATTTCTCATGTTTCTCTTTGAATGTTCGGGGGCTACGTGACTTAAACAAGCGAAAAGCTTTATTCTTGTTTTGTAAATCTGTTAAAAGGGACATATATTTTTTGCAAGAGACGCATTCTTGTGTAAACGATGAAAAATTCTGGCGTAATCAGTGGGGGAGCTCTATTTCTTTCTGTCATAACTCAAGTTCATCAGGTGGGGTCGCTATATTGCTTAATAGTGGATTTCAAGGAAAGGTTATAGAAACGCTTTCTTCAGGGATTGGAAGGTGGGTTATCTCAGTTGTTCACTTGGACAGCAATTTTTTTATAATGATTAACATATATGGGTTCAATAGTTCTGCAAACAACAAAACTTTACTTGATAGTATAGTCATTCATATAAATAATTTAAAACTTAAATATCCCTCTGCTTTTATTTTATTTGGTGGCGATTTCAACGAGGCACCAGACTTAGTTGCTGATAGATTCCCACCAAGACATGTATCTAATAGCGTCAACCCCCTGATTGCAAATCTCTGTCAATGTCTGAACCTGATCGATGCACATAGATATTTACACCCCGATACACACATGTATACTTGGTTTAAGTCAGATTTTTCTCAAAAATCACGTATAGACCTGTGGCTGATGTCAGACTCTTTAATTTCTTTTTTGGTATCAGCAGAAATTTCACCCTCACCTTTAACTGATCATGCAGTGATTGACATAACGTTATCGGATGATAAATCCAAGCGAAGAAGAAAAATGAACCCTGGGTACTGGAAGTTAAATTGCTCCTTTTTACTCTCTGAATCATATTGTCAAGAGATTGAGAAAATCGCAGAGAGTGTTAAATCTCAGGCTAATACCTCGGCTATTTCGAAATGGGAGCTATTTAAATATGAATGTAGGAGATTTTCGGTTAAATTTGGAAAAAATAGAATGTCTGTTAAAAATAAGGAAATTGCAAACTTAATTAAAAAAATGAATGAAATTTTACAGAACCCTAACCTGAGTGAGAAGGATAAGGAATCTCTTTATACTTCACAAGCCTGTCTGGATGATCTCTTTCTAGAAAAAGCAAAGGGTGCTTTTATTAGATCGAGGTCAAAATGGCTTGAGTTTGGAGAAAAAAATTCTGCCTACTTCTTCAACCTTGAGAAGAAACGCGGCAGTAATAAAAAAATCTCTTCTCTGAATATAAATAATACGTTATCTAATGATTCCTCTGTGATTTCTTCCCATGTTTCTAAATTTTATCAAAATTTGTATACCTCCTCTTTTGACCCCAACGCTTCATCTTTGTTTTTTCAAAAGATTCAATCTGTTATTCCTAAAATTAATGACCAAAACAGGAAAAAATGTGAGGATCCTTTTAATATAGATGATCTTTATAATATAGTCAAAAGAATGCCTAATAATAAATCCCCGGGGCCAGATGGCTTACCCTTTGAATTTTTTAAAGTCTTTTGGGACTCTATAAAAAATCTTCTTTACGATGCCCTTATTGAGTGTTCAATGAAAGGTGAATTGGCAGAATCTATGAAACAAGGTCTCATCTCTCTTATACCCAAACCTAATAAGGATAACAAATTTTTAGATAATTGGCGCCCGATCACCCTTTTGAACTCTGATTATAAGTTATTGGCTTCTGTATATGCTGAAAAGCTTAAGCCTTGTTTGGGAGACATAATTTCTGACTCTCAATCTGGTTTTCTAAAAGGTAGACATATCTCTAATAATATTAGATTAATTTTAGATATTCTTGATTATTCTGATTTTATAAACAAAGAGGCTTTAATTTTGTTTATCGACTTCTATAAAGCTTTCGATACAGTTGAGCTCTCTTTTATTTTTGAAGCCCTTTCTAAGTTTGGTTTTGGTAGTTCTTTTATTAATATGATTCGTACTCTTTATAATGGTATTAACAGTTGTGTCTCCTTAGCTTCCGGCACTTCTCCCCGATTTTCAGTGGGTCGAGGTATTCGCCAGGGATGCCCCATATCTCCTTTTCTATTTCTATTGGCTGCTGAGCTTCTAAGTTTGTATATAAAACACTCAAATATTGAGGGTATAAATATTGGAGAGAACACTTTAATAATTAGTCAGTTAGCTGATGATACTTGTCTCTTTCTTAAAAATGATTCACAAGTCTCTGGCGCCCTAAGCATTTTTAATCTTTTCTCCAAAGCTTCTGGATTGGTGGTAAATCCTGCGAAAAGTGAAATTTTGTATGTGCATGATTCAGATAAAGTTTCTGTTAATGGTATTAAAGTTAAACAGCAGGTAAAATACCTCGGGGTCGATATTTGCAAATCAGGTTCAGAACGTCTTCACAACAATTTTCAACCAAGGATAGATAAAACCAAAAAAATACTATGTTGCTGGCTGCAGAGAGACTTGACAATTTATGGGAGAGTCCTGCTGTCTAAGGCTGAGGGCATATCTCGCCTAGTTTACCCTGCTCTTTCCCTATATGTTGATAAAAAAACGATTAAATGTATTGATTCTCTGCTATTCCGTTTCATTTGGAAAAATAAAACAGAATGCATTCAAAGAAAATCTTTGATAAGAAGTTACAAGGAGGGTGGTCTTAACGCTTTAGATTTTCAAACTATTAACCAGACATTCAAAATTAACTGGATTAAGTATTGTATTTCTAACAATGATTTACCCTGGTTTTGGATCCCTAATTTAATCTTTAAAAAATGTGGTGACCTTAAATTCTTATTATCTTGTAATTTTAAGTGTAGCAAATTACCTATTAAACTCTCAAATTTTCATAAACAAGCTCTTGAATCCTGGAAGATTGCTTTCAAACATAACTTCTCCCCGCACACGTGTATTATTTGGAATAATGAAAATGTACTGTGTGGTAACAAGTCTCTTTTTTTCAAAGAATGGGTGGATCAAAATATTATTTTTGTTTCCGATTTGTTTAGTGCTCAAGGAGACCTTCTTTCCATTTATGATTTTATGTCCCTAAAAAGTGTTACGATTTCTGTAAGAGATTTTAATAAGGTGACTAAGAGCATTCCTGTAAGTGTAAGAACCTTGTTTAAAGCACATTTAAATTACAACCGTGTAAACAACTTTATTCCAACACTTGCTTTTAATGGTGTTAATATATTAGATAAAAAATGCAACAACTTCTTTATTAGGAATGCTCTTTCTTCATCTTCAAAAACTCTTCCTAAAGCTCGTTCTAAATGGAGTATCTGTTATCCCAACTCTAATTTGAATTATTTATGGGCCTTTTCTCATAAACTTTTTATTCCTAATAAAATAAAAGAACTCCATTTCAAAATTATTCATAGATATTACCCTTGTAATCTATTCTTGAGCAAGTTTTCTGAGAATGTATCTTCTTTATGCTCCTTTTGCAATATTGAAGAAGAATCTATTCTTCATTTATTTTATCAATGCCCATTTTCTAAATCTTTCTGGTCAGATGTTACCCTGTTAGTTTTTTACTGTTGCAAGAAATTGGTACAAATTTCTGATTCTATAATTTTTTTATCAGATTTTTGTTCTAATGATATTAATTTTAATTATACTGTATTTCTGCTGTGTCTTCTGGGCAAGTTTCATCTTCACAAAGCCAGAACCATTCATTGTAAGCCGGATTTTAGAATGTTCTCATCTGATTTAAAGTCCCTTTTTTCTTCATTTAAAAATTTGTCAAAACCATTAAACTCTAAGGTTTCTAGAACACATAATATTTTGGAGTCTGTGGTAAAGAACCTTTAATTTGGTTATTTTTACAAATTGTAATATGTTATTTTGTATAACTTAATGCAATCTATTTTGATGTCTGTAACCCCTCTATTATTGTTTTTGTTTTTTCTCCTCTGTTTGCTGTTATTGTATTTTTTCTTTAATTTGCAATAAAAAAAAAAAAAAAAAAAAAAAAAAAAAAAAAAAAAAAAAAAAAAAAAAAAAAAAAAAGATCCAGGGACAACCACACAGAATTTCGACCAACGCAGATAACGTTAGAACATTTTATATTAATATTATAGAAAAGCTATATTAAAATAAAAGCTAGAGACTGTCAGTAACGCAGGAGAAACTGATTACCATAGTAAGAACAGAGCAGAAGGTGGTAGGAACAGGAGAGCATACCTGAGGAAGGTGAGGAGGAAAGCTAGCAGTTGATGATAGGTGCAGAGGGGCCACATTATAAGGGTCTGGGTCAAAGGGAAAGGAAGAGAAGGGGCTGGAGTCTTCAGCACACTCTACTGGACCATCTAAGTTACAAACACTACAAACACACCACATCACATCACTGTCAAATCTATCCATCGACAGATAGATAGCTAGATCAATAGGCGCTATCAGATTGTTAACGTTACACTTTAATGCTCGTCTTTAGCTTATCAGGACATGATACATATTTACAGCTTTCCAGAGATTTACTAATAGTAATTAGCTATACTCACCAGTAATTATTTGCTGTAAATAAATCTCTGACTGGAAGATATTATCGTGATTGTTTTGAAATGCAACGTAAACACGTTCAATCATAAACACGGACGTCATCCGGAAGTTGCACGTTTCAAAATAAAAGTCACATTATTACGGTTCCGAGTCAGATTCACTTTCCGAGTCACATTATTACGGTTCCGAGTTCTTCTTCTTCTTCTTCTCTCGAAAAATGGCGGATTGCAACCAACTTTGAGGTGCATACCGCCACCTACTGTACTGGAGTGTGTAACATCATGCTATTTAATTGATCTCATATTCTACCCATCAACCCTGTGACTTTAAGAAATTTAAAAAGTGCCATTCTGGTGCTTATAATCCCTTTCCTCTCTCCTTCTGTTCCCAGTATCCCAATCAGATTCCATTCCCGTCCTGCTTCCTGAACCCCATCTTGTAACACCCGTCTTTCCAATTCATATAATATACAGTGTAATATGACATGTTCAGCATTTTCTTTAACCCCACATTTTTCACAGTTTTCACTATTCCTTTTCCCTATTAAATACAAAGTGCTATTCAATCCTGTATGGTCCACTCTTAGTCTTGATATTATAATTTCCTCCCGCCTAGTCTTTTCTTTATAATTTTTAATACTGACACATTTTTGTACTTTATAATATCCCCTTCCTTTCGTGTCTTCTTCCCACCATTTCTGCCATATTCTCATACCTTTCTCTCTTATCACTGCTTTTCCTTCTCCTTTTCCGAGTGGAATTGGGACTGTTATTTCCTTCTGTAATGCATCTTTTGCTAGTTTGTCTGCACTCTCATTTCCTTTCACTCCCTCGTGTGCTGGTACCCAACAAAACTGAACATCTATGCCACCCGATGTAATCTTAGCAAACTGTGATTTAGTTCTAATAGTAAGTCTTCTCTGGCAGATTCCATTGATTGTATACTTTTAATGATAGATAATGAGTCTGTACATATTACCACTCTATCAGGTCTAACCTCTTCCACCCATTGTAATGCAATGATGACTGCCACAATTTCTGCTGTGTATACTGATAACTGGTCAGATAATCTTTTCGACATATTTATTTTGAATTCAGGAATATGTATTCCAACTCCCACACATTCCTGTTTACTCTTTGATCCATCTGTATAAATTCTGAGATAATTATTGTAACTGTTCCTTATATAAATACTTGTCTTGATTCCCACTTCCTCCATTCTCCATTCCTTTTTCTTTTCTAGGATATAACATCTGTTTTTACCTCTGGGAAAAACCATGGTGGAATATTACTAACTGGGGTAGACGTTATGAAATCTAAGGCTTTTAATCCATATTCCTCCACTCTCTTTTCCCTGGTCCAGCCAAACCCACGCCCCTGATACTTGTAGTATTCCCAACAGTCCTGTATGATCTCCTTAGTAGGGTTCTCTTTCCCACTTCCTTTCAATCTAATCCAATAAGCTAGTGCAAGTTTTTCTCTCCTTAACTTCAGTGGTGTCTCTCCTGTTTCTATAAGTATTGCGTTAGTGGGTGTTGACTTAATAGCTCCAATGCATACACGTAATGCTCTATATTGTAATCTATCAATTTTTTTTAATGATGTTTTTGCTGCTGCCCCATAAATTATACAACCATAATCTATTGATGACCTCATGCAAGCTCTATAGATGTCAATTAGAGATATTTTATCTGCACCCCAATCATAACCAGCCACAGCTCTCAATAAGTTGATAACTTTTTTACATTTAGTTTCTAAGTGCTTTATGTGAGTTTTCCATGTATATTTACTATCAAACCATAAACCCAGGTACTTAAATTCATTTACTTTTACCATTGGTTGCTGGTATAATGATAATTTTTCAACCTGATACTTGCGTTTGTTTGTGAATATCATATTGTTGTGAATTTGATCCTTTAATTATACTTTTTATTTTTTTTTTATTTCTCCTTACATATTTGCACTTCATATCCCACAATCCTTTTGTCAGTTTCACTACATTACCCATACACCCCCTGGGCAAGGTCTATAAGTAGACCTCACTTCCTCCCTTTTTTCCTTTTGTATTGGTGAGGTGTGGTGGTTGGAATGGACACCCAACCATGTCCTTTCCTTAGGATGCGTTGAGTAAGTTTGTTTTGTCAATTGTTTAAAATATATGTTGTTATGTTACTGATGAATTATATGAGTTTAATTTCCTTTATTGTATTGTTTGTAGTGACTAAAGACCATCTTGTACGTCCTGTTTATCCTGTCCCTCCATTAACATCAGTTCATTGGCGTCATGTGTGTCAGCTCCATGTGAATTAAGACTTTATCATCCTGAACTGAAAATAAAAGAGAGCAAAGGACTGGTATTTTTTCCATGTGTTTTAATCAGACACACCATCAAGTTTCTACAACTCCAACGAACTTTGGATACATTTAACATCTGAGATCCAATATATGGTCCTTCGAGCCGGAGGTAGAAATTTGGTGGAATGGATTACCATGCAAGACCTGCAATCCGGCGCAGCCTAAGAAGCAGAAGACCTCCTGCCCGTTTTGTTGACTGTATGGTGAGAGAATATGGTCCTCCTCCGCCTCCCTCACCAACGCTAGTTGTAAGTGATCATCACCAAACTCAGTATGAAAATCCACCTTTAAGACATTCCCCAAGCTCATCGGCTCCTTGTGAACAGCCTCAACATGATTTGCTCGATATGGATGTTAAACAAGAGATACTTGGACTTAAGGGTATGCTTGGTGAGATGATGTCTAAAATGTCACAGTTAGTAGTTTCTTCCAGACATTCTGAATTTTCTGAGTCTTTTGATGATGCTTCTGATGATGATGATAATGCCTTAGTTAATCCATCTATTGTTCAAGAATTGTGTGCATGTATTAAGACAGCTGAAAAGAAACCTACATGTGAGTAGGCCTAGTTCTCTGCCTCTTCCTCCTTCCTCATTGTTACGTAGTCCACCCCAACAGATGCACACACATGATATAGCATCACAACTACAATTTAGTATGTTACAACCTTCTATTGTTCCATTGGTTCCTGGGCCTTCTAATTGTCAGTCCCCTCAAGTGCAAACATCACCAGTGTTGGTACAACCAACTGGTCCACCACAACCAGTGTAGTTCCTTTTCCTCTGCCATGGTTCATTCTCAGTTATCCTCACAAGTAACATCAGCACAGTTACCTCCACAGCCTCGGTATGCTGTTTCTCAGTATTCACAGCCATTAGGACCATCCTCTAGCTCGGCAATTCCTCATGTAGCCTCAGCTAATGTAGGCCCTCACATGCAATCTGTAGGTCAGGTAGGGAATGATGTTGTACAACCTCCTGCCCCACATATTCAACCAATTGTTCCCACTACCCAGTCAACTGCAATTCCATTCCTTCATCCTTATCCATATTCCCAACCATATTATGCATCATATCCTGTTCCTTCCTATCCTACTTCTCGTGTTCAGGGACCTACCTTTCCTTTCCTGGTTAATGATGATCCCCAAGAATTTGCAATGTTGCAGCTAGCATTGACAAATTTGTTGTCACCCCATGAGCCAGAACATTACAAATTCCATATCTTGTTAGATCATTTAAAATTTTCTCCAGCTCGTGATCTAGCGTTAGCTTATGCTAACGATCCTAGGCCTTACAGTATGGCTCTTTTTGCCCTACAGCAGAAATATGGGCAACCTCACCAACTAGTTTTGAGAGAAATCAAAGCCATTCTAGCTCTCCCCAGGGTGAGACCAGGTGACAGCAGAGCATTTAGTAGCTTCGCATTAAAGGTTCGAGCTTTGGTTGGCATGCTCCAATCTTCGGGCCAAGACCAAGTTAAATCTGAATTGTCCTGTGCTTCTCATGTACAGCAACTACTCAGTAAACTGCCCACCGAGCATGTGACCAACTTTGCCCGTTATGCCCGTACAATCCTAAAGGGTCAAAGCTACAACCTGATTAGCTTTTCCGCTTGGCTCCAAGAAGAAGCTGAGTGTCAAGCAATGGCTGATCAGGTTAGTGACTTTCCAAAACCATTCCTGAGTAAACCTCAACCAAAGACTTCCATTAACACTCGAACAGTCTTGTACGGAGTTAACAGTAATTCTGTTGTGCCAAGATCCATTAATAAGCAACCCCAGAATGTGAGAGATGGAGAATGGAGTTCCAAATATTCATGCGCCTATTGTTCCAGTAGAGATCATTTCATTGGCCTGTGCCCCTCTTTTAAATCTCTAGAAGACACCAGGAAGGATGCATGGATTAGAGAGAACAAAAGATGTTGGAGATGCGGGCTTAACCATCTAGCTGTCAACTGTGACTTGAAGAAACCCTGTCCACAGTGCAAAGGCAGACATCTTGGTATCCTTCATGGAGTTAATTGTCGTGACCAAGATAACGGTACATTCTATCTTAGTCGCCTTGGAGGTTCTGGTAGGGTCTTGCTTAAAGTTGTTGAAGTACTTCTCCATTATAAAGGAAGATCCTTGCAAACCTATGCCATCTTAGATGATGGATCAGAACGTACCATGTTGCTACCTCAAGCATCTGAGTCTTTGGGCCTCAATGGGGTACCTGAGTCCCTAATTGTTAGAACTGTACGTCAAGATACCCTTGCACTTGAAGGTTCTTCTGTAACCTTTGAAATATCTTCCATGACCAATCCAGAAAAGAAGTATTCCATTTCCAATGCCTTTTCTGCTGCTAGATTGGGACTGGCAGAACAGACGTATCCTGTTGAGATCTTGCAGAGACGTTTCAGACATCTTCGAGACTTACCCCTTCCAGCCTTCTCTAAAGTCCAACCACTTGTTCTTATCGGTGCAGACTATCCACACCTGATAAATCCCATTGATCAGGTGTATTTCGGGCCTCCTAAATCTCCAGCTGCAATACAGACCAGGTTAGGATGGGTACTTCAAGGCCCAATACCGATTCCTAACACTGATGAGACTCAGTGTCTTTTTACCATCGCTAATCCCCTAGAAGAACTTCGCCATGATGTGGAGAAATTATGGAAAGTAGACATCCTTCCTTTCAGGAATGAGAAAGTCATTACTAGGTCTAAGCAAGATCAGGCAGCTATGGAATTGTTGGCCTCTAAGTCTAAAAAAGTTGATGTGGATGGTGTGAAAAGATATGCCACTCCGTTATTGCGCGCTTCTTCCGCCATAAAGCTGCGGACCACACCAAATGCAGTTATGTCTTCTCTCAGATGTATCGAACGACGCCTCCAGAGAAATCCTAAAACTGCTGCTGTGTACAACCAAGAGATTGCTAAGTTGGAGGAATCCGGTTATGTTTCCAAAGTGGAACTTCCCCATGACTCATCTGATGAATCGTGGTATATTCCTCATCATATTGTGGAGCATAACGGAAAAAAGAGAATAGTCTTCAATTGTTCCTATCAATATAAAGGTGTGTCACTTAACAGTCAACTTCTTCCTGGTCCACAGTTGGGCCCTTCCTTACTTGGTGTCCTACTCCGGTTTCGTCAGTGCCCAGTGGCCATTAGTGGGGATATAAAATCCATGTTCCATCAAGTTAGGCTATTACCAGAAGACCGTTCTCTCCTACGCTTCCTGTGGCGCAATATGCAGAGCACAAATCCACCTGACATCTACGAATGGCAAGTTTTGCCCTTTGGCACGGTATGTAGTCCATGTTGCGCAACATATGCTCTACAAAGGCATGTCCATGATCACCAAGAAGGGTATGAAGATATAGCGAGCTCTGTACTTCAGTCATTCTATGTTGACAACTGCTTAGAGAGTTTCCCAAATGTGCAATCTGCTAAGAACTTCTTAGACCGAATGCGTTCTTTACTGATGAGTGGAGGATTTGAAATTAGACAGTGGGCAAGTAACCAGCCTGGTGTTGTCCGACATCTCCCTCCTGAAGCCAGGTCTGAGAATGCTGAACTGTGGATCAATCAAGACAGTTTAGATCCCAAAGAAGGAGCTCTGGGTCTGAGTTGGCACTGTCCCTCTGATTCATTAGGGTATCGATCCCGAACAGTGGAGTATAAGACAACAACCCTGCGTAATATATATAAAGTTCTCGCCAGTCAGTATGACCCATTGGGTTACATAACCCCCTTTACAACGCGAGCTAAAGTCATCATACAACAATGCTGGATGAAGTCCCGGGGCTGGGATGATCCCCTTATGCCAAATCCTATTCAACAGGCCTGGAAGGCTTGGGAAACTGAGCTCCCTGACCTGTCATTAATACAGCTTCCACGTTGTTATCTAAGTTTACCTTCCGACCAAATCACATCCAGAGAGTTGCATATATTTTGCGACGCCTCAGAGAGCGCATACGGGTCTGTAGCCTATTTGCGAATGGGAACTGACAAGGGTGTGGTACATACTTCCTTCATCATGGCAAGATCTCGAGTTGCCCCAAAAAAGCAAATATCCATCCCTCGCCTTGAACTTTGCGCTGCTCTAACAGGTGCACAGCTTTGTAAACTCCTGCAGAATGAATTGACTCATCCTTTGACAAATATTGTCTTATGGTCCGACTCGACAACTGTCTTGTCTTGGCTGCATTCCCTCTCCTGCCGTTACAAAGTTTTTGTAGCTAATAGAGTCACTGAAATATTAGAGCTCACTGATCCCTCTTCTTGGAGATATATTCCATCTGCACAGAATCCAGCAGATGACATTACGAGAGGCAAAACTCTTGTAGAGCTAGCCAAACCTGATCATAGATGGCGACAAGGTCCAACGTTTCTGAAATTTCCTCCAGATGAATGGCCCAAAAATCTAGTATCTACATCTGATAGTCCTGATCCTGAGCTTCGTAAACCACTCTTTTGTGGGTTAACACAATTGGATGATATTGTACTCCCAGATCCTGCCCGTTTTAAATCATGGTCAGAGTTACAGTTTGCAACAAATGTGTTACTGCGACAACATAGTGAGGACTCTTGTGACGCCTCTTCTGTCCAAAATCTCCTTTTGAGACAAGCCCAGCAACAAAGTTTTCCCTCCGAGTATCAGTGTTTAACGAAAGGAAAGCCCATTGAACCTCAAAGTTGTCTCCTAACACTTTCTCCCGAATTCAATGAAGAAACGGGACTTATTGTAGTGGGCGGTAAGCTCAGGCGTGTAGAGGATATGGAACCTGGAATGGTTCATCCAATCGTCCTCGACCCCAAACATCCATTGACCCAGTTAATTATTAAGGACTGTGACGAGAAACTTTTCCATCCTGGTCCAGAGAGAGTTTTCTCAGAACTTCGACGCAATTACTGGATAATTAGAGGGAGACAAGCCGTAAAAAACATCAGTGGTCTTGTTTTCAATGTAGGAAGTGGAGAGCCAAGCCATCTATTCCTCAAATGTCAGATCTTCCACTCTCCAAGCTCCGGTTGTTCAAACCTCCCTTTTGGTCCACCGGAATGGACTGTTTTGGTCCCTTCCATGTAAATATTGGCCGTAGAACAGAGAAGAGATGGGGCATTCTGTTTAAGTGTCAGACCACTCGATGCCTGCACCTTGATTTGTTGAGCAGTTTAGATGTGGACAGCTTTCTAATGGGCCTACGTCGTTTCATATCCAGGAGAGGTAGGCCGTATGAGATTCTTTGTGATCAGGGAAGCAATTTCCGTGGAGCTGCAAGAGAGTTAAAGGAAGCCTTCCAGAACCTTCCCACTGAGCTACAAGACAAATTGGAAAAGCAGCAGATCAAATTTAAGTTTAATCCACCACAAGCTCCTCATTTTGGGGGGTCATGGGAAAGAGAGGTCCGTTCTGTTAAAACAGCATTGCGGGTGGTACTCGGCAGTCAAACCGTATCAGAGGAAGTCCTACGGACCGTTTTGACAGAAGTTGAAGGAGTGTTAAATTCAAAGCCACTTGGTTACGCCTCTTCAAATATTTCAGATCTCGACCCCATTACTCCAAATCTCCTCCTCATGGGGCGGCGAGATTCGTCTTTACCTCAGGTGATTTATGCCAATACTAAGCTCCTTGGCCGCAGATCTTGGCGCCACAGCCAGGCCCTCGTTGACCAGTTTTGGACATCTTTTATCCGACATTACTTACCAGGTCAGCAGCTCCGTCAAAAATGGAATCGAGAAAAACCTAATCTAAATGACTCTGCTGTCGTGTTAGTAATTGATTTTCAACTCCCAAGAGCATCATGGCCCATTGGCAGGGTAGTACGCCTCTTACCTAGTCAGGATGGACGTGTCAGAGTAGCTGAGATTGATATTAATGGAAAGACGTATGTACGTCCAGTTGCTAAGTTGATTCCATTACCTGAAATAGATGAGTAATAGCAAATACATGACTGTATTTGGGGGCGGCTGTTGTGAATTTGATCCTTTAATTATACTTTTTATTTTTTTTTTCTTTCTCCTTACATATTTGCACTTCATATCCCACAATCCTTTTGTCAGTTTCACTACATTACCCATACACCCCCTGGGCAAGGTCTATAAGTAGACCTCACTTCCTCCCTTTTTTCCTTTTGTATTGGTGATGTGTGGTGGTTGGAATGGACACCCAACCATGTCCTTTCCTTAGGATGCGTTGAGTAAGTTTGTTTTGTCAATTGTTTAAAATATATGTTGTTATGTTACTGATGAATTATATGAGTTTAATTTCCTTTATTGTATTGTTTGTAGTGACTAAAGACCATCTTGTACGTCCTGTTTATCCTGTCCCTCCATTAACATCAGTTCATTGGCATCATGTGTGTCAGCTCCATGTGAATTAAGACTTTATCATCCTGAACTGAAAATAAAAGAGAGCAAAGGACTGGTATTTTTTCCATGTGTTTTAATCAGACACACCATCAAGTTTCTACAACTCCAACGAACTTTGGATACATTTAACATCTGAGATCCAATACATATAACATGATTTGCTTGTGGATATCTTAAACCCCCACTCATATGACCACTTTTCTACTTTCTCTACTGCTCTCCTTATGTTCTCTAACACGTATGTCACATTCCTTCCTCTCATCCATATGGCCCCATCATCCGCATATAGCGCTGATTTGATGCATTTATCTAAATTTGAAAACATGTCATTTATCATAATGTTAAACAATACTGGGCTGATTGCACTCCCCTGTGGAATACCATTGTTTACATTAAACTCCATGGATACCTCTGATCCAACTTTCACTCTTATTTTCCTATTTGTTAAAAAATCCATTATCCAGTTATACATCCTTCCTCCAAAACCCATTCTACTTAATTTAATAAGCAGACCTTCTCTCCACATAGTATCATACGCCTTCTCTATGTCAAAGTATACTATTGTCATCAGCTCTTTCATTTTCAATGCCTTTTCCACTTCATTACTAACTCTAACTAGAGCATCTGTTGTAGAGTGTCCTTTTCTAAATCCACTTTGTATGTTAGTCAATAATCCTCTCTGTTCTAGTACATGCGATATCCTACGAACTATAACCCTCTCCATCCATTTGCATAAATGGGATGTCAACGCTATGGGTCTATAATTACCAGGATTAGTTGGATCTTTACCTGGTTTATTAAATGGTAGTATAATTGCAGTTTTCCAGCTACTTGGTATCATTCCATACCTCCATATTTTATTAAATAACCTTAATACTAAATTACATGATTCTATTGGTAACTGTCGGAACATGGCATAACACAATTGATCATGTCCAGGAGCTGTATATCCAGTGCCCGATAAAGCCATGTTAATTTCAGACATTAAGAAATCCACATCTAGCGTTGACATACCATCTTCCCTCTTAAGCTTCAAATCCTCATTCACTCTAAGTGCAAGGTCTTTCTGCTGTTTATGAATGTCTGTAAGGTGATCACCACTGTGCAATGCCACAAATGCCCTACCCAACACCTCAGCCTTTTCTTTATCAGACACCACCACCTTTTCACCATCAATCAAAGCTGCAACTTTTACATCTTTCCTTTTCCCACTCATTCTTTTAAACATTGACCATATATCCCCTAACTCTATCCCTCTATGTTGGAACAGAACTCTCTCCAGTTGCTCTTTTTAGTATATTTAATTGTCCTACGTGCCACTGCCCTTTTCTTTTGATATTCCATAATATTCTCTTGTGACAGATTCTTCTTCAATGCTCTAAATGCCCTGTTTCGATCTTTAACAGCTTTGCTACATTCCTCATTCCACCAGGGAACTACTTTCTTCCTACCCTTTGTTGTTCTTTTTGGAATACTCATAATTGCTGCATTTAAAATATGATCAGTAAGTTGCTTTGTGCATTCCTCTATATCTCCTTCTAATGTAACCAGGTTTACTGACTTCTTACAACATGTCCTAAACATTTCCCAATCTGCTTTTTCAAAACACCATCTATTAATTGTACTTCCTTCTTGAATACTAATATTTGTGTAAACTATAGTGAGAACTGGATAATGGTCACTTCCTATAGTAGAATCACTCTTGACATACCAGTCACATCTATTTACCAAATTATCTGAAACCAACGTAAGATCCAAACATGATATCTTACCTCTATTCACATCTATTCTTGTGCCCTGTCCATTATTAATGCAGACCAATGATCTATCTTCCATCAATTCTTCGACTATGTTTCCATTACTGTCTGTGTAATTGCTACCCCATAAGCTGTTATGAGCATTAAAATCCCCACACCATATTTCTTTCTGTATGCAGTCCCTTGCGATTTCATTTAATTTGTTAATATCTAAATTTTTGCATGGGTTATAGAAATTGATCAACTTAATATTTCCCTCTTCCTTTGTGCTACAGATCTCAACTATTACACACTCTATATCTTCGGGGCTGGGGACTTCCCTATACGCTAACCCATCTTTGATAAAAGTAATACACCCTCCACCAATTTTATTGTTAGTTCTATCATATCTTACAGAATTGAACCCTGGGATCACAAAATCTAGATGAGCTTGTAACCAAGTTTCTTGTATACATACTACATCCGGAACAACATCTAATTCATGAATGTACTTTTTCAATTCTTGACCATTAGATATAAGGCTTCTGGCATTCCATTGTAATATGTGTAGTACCATACACAGGGTCCTAAACCTCAGCTTGTGTAGTATCTCCATTTTCGGTTACTGTCAACAATGCATGTATCTGATCTGCTTTGATGTCTCTCATGTCAAGAAATTTTTCTGCTGCCTCAACAATAGCCTTAATTCTGTCACTTTTCTTTTTCAACTGTGATGCAACATTGATTGTGTAGCAAATAAAACCCACAAAGTTTACTTTCTTCAGTATCAAGGTATCATCATCAATTTTACATTTGTGATCACAACCCTTCTGCATTTGTCCTGTAATCTGAATTTGTGTCTTATTAATTGGTGTTGTGTTTCTTTGAACCATTTTACTGTCATTTCTGTGATTGGTTTCTCTTACTTTCTTTAGAGCTTCTGCATATGATACCTTATTCAGAAACCTAACTTTCTGGGCTTCTCTGGCTTCTCTTTGTACTTCACATCCTCCAAAGGCTGCACTATGCTCTCCTCCACAGTTACAGCATTTAATCTTTGCATCTTTTTCACATTTACCATACTCGTGCTGACCTCCACATCTAGCACACCTTAGCTTTCCTTTGCACTGCTGTGCTGTGTGCCCCATTCTCTGGCATTTGTAACATCTGAGAGGTTTAGGAATATACTCTCTCACACTGTAATTCATATATCCCATTTGCACTGCCTTCGGGAGGGTTCTCTCGAATTGAACTACCACAGATAATGTTTCTTTTAATGTTCCATCTCGTTTAGTTTTTAGCCGTGTAGCCTCAACTATTTTGCCTCCCTGTATCTCTTTTTTGACGTCGTCCATTGACATACTCAATGGGACTCCTGAGATAACTCCTCTCACCTTTGCCATTGCTCCAGGGATGTGAGCCTTCATCCTTTCCCCTTGTAGTGAGGACATACTAAGAATTTTTTCTTGTTGTTGTTTATTGGTTGCATGAATCAGTATTCTTTTATTATTCATAAACCTTGCAAATTTAATTTTACCAATCTCCTTCTCGATCGCCTTGGTAAGTTTGATTGGGTGATAGTGTCCACCATCCTGATTAAATTCAATTATAACTTTCCATTCGTTTTCTTGTGCTGACTCTACATTCCCCATTTTTTGTTTCTCATACTGGTTAGCTCTCAGTTTCTTGCTCATGCTTCCCTCACCAGCCTCGCTATGTTCCGACCAACTTTTCCTTCTATTTCTTTCTCTCATAGCCCTTTTCATTTTTGCAGATCTGGATATCATCCAATCCATTTCATCCTCATCTGATTCTGAACTATTTGACATGACGTTACATTCACAGTACAGTTTATGCAGATCCGCCAAAACCAAAAAACAATCAAAATTCCCACGCTCACGCTCCTCTCTCTGTCAGCCGTCCCGCCGCACTTCCTTCCGGTGTGCACCCGCGCTCAGTCTCCTCGTATGGTGTCCTCTTGTGGCCGACTCCGAGTCAGATCAGTGAAGCAGGGATGTTCTTATTGTTATAGGGACATATCAACCGCCTCTTTTCTTTTCATTATTGCTCTCTTACAATACAACAAAATCAATAACAACTGTAATTATTAAAGTTATTCTTTTACAGCTTTATAATACAACAAAAGCAAAATGGAACAACTCCATAACTCACAAAAATAACATGGCTAAGAATTTACACATCCAGTAAAGTGAAAAGCCTGTCCAAAAGTTTTTTGTTTTGTTTTTTTGCTAACAAAAGATGAAATTGTAATAATGTAATGTTTTATCTTATTTAACAAAATAATAAGTTTCAAGTTTTCAATAAAAATAATTAAGCCACTTTAAGCCAACCACTTCTGCTTCAAAATATCCCCAAAATAAGACTACAATTTATCATTTAATTAATGTTTATTGGCAAAAGGCAGGAATTTCCATTGGAAATGGTAGACCATCCGGGGTACCTTGCATTGTAAGAAAAAAGAAAAGAAAATAGAAAATACAGAAAATAGCTGATTTTTTGACGTTCATTTTCTTTCATTTTAATTTGTACTCAAAATGCTATTAAATTACAAATAATATCTTTATATTGTATAGTTTTTTCTGTATTGTTAAATGACATAAAATGTATGTAAAATTATAAATAATCTGTAATTAAACAGTAACAAAATAATGATAAGACAATAAAATGTCAACTAAAGTCAACCGTTTTAAAATAATGATGCTGACATTTTTCTGTCAGCAAAGTAATAAAACGGTTAAATTACTCGGGGAAAAAAACCCTGTAACATTAAAGTAAAACATCCTAAATGAAATAAACTGAAAAACACTTATTTTGCAGGTATTTCCTATATTATCACAATGATACACCTTCATTGTAAAAAGAAATCGTAAAAAACTGGTCAAATGACTGGCAGCTACGGCTGCCAAACAAAAATCGCAAAATCAAAGTAAAATATTCTAGTTTAAATAAACCGAAATAACGCTGTTATTTCATAAGTAATTCTTGAATTATTAAAAAAAAATCTTTAAAAAAATGGTCAAATGACAGGCAGCTATGGCTGCCAAACAAAAAAAAAACAAGTAAAATATGCTAATTTAAATGAAGTGCAAAAAACTCACAGAATTATGATGTCACCATGGAAATCATTGTTTGCTTTAGTTGGGCTGTTGACCCTTGAATTTTTAACATTATTTTCTCCCTGGCTGCTTTAACTGTTTTTGATACACATTTGTTATGACAATAAATGCAGGAGAAAATGTCATCAGATTATTTTGTAGTCATCATATGGTGACCTGATTCACTGATATGACTTTGAGCC